ATTTTACCCTCATCCAGAAAATATCTCTGAAATCACCATTTTCTTCCTCTCTCTCTCATTCCTTTACCCTCTCATTATATTCCTCAAATTTTGCTACTCTAAGAAAATAGATCCTCCATTGTTATTCCACCTATATTAGCTACTTTTATGTCTATTTTAAGCCCTTTTTTCCCAACCTTAAATCTATCCAAAATCCACAAAGTAATTTTTGTGGGAAGATCTTACGAAATATTTGGAATTTGATTATATATGAAATGCTAAGATCTGTGTCGAATAAAGTTACAGTTTTTCCAACATCTCGTATCTACTCAAGAAGGAGCCATGTTGATTCCACTGTCTCTTCGAACTTATGGACCACTATCGTTCCTGCTCTGGCTCAGTCAGGTTCCATCGGGGCATTACACGATGCGGTTGAGTTGCTTAATGACGGCTACAAGGGAGATGCTTCTACGCTGGTTCACTTGCTTCGCGTCTCTGGAAACCATGGCTGCGTTTCTTTGTGCAGACAGCTTCATGGTTACGTTGTAAAACATGGGTTTTTCTCAGAAACGCGTCTTTCCAATTCGCTGATGAGATTTTACAAGACAAGCGACTCGCTTGAAGATGCTCACAAAGTGTTTGATGAAATGCCTGACCCAGATGTTATATCTTGGAACTCATTGGTTTCTGGTTACGCTCAATCGGGAAGGTTCCAGGAAGGACTCTGTTTGTTTCTAGACCTCCACAGATCTGATGTGTTCCCCAACGAATTCTCTTTTACGGTTGCTTTAGCTGCTTGTGCACGAGTACATATCTCGCGACTTGGAGCTTGTATTCACTCAAAGATTGTGAAGCTTGGTATAGATAAAGGCAATGTCGTAGTCGGTAATTGTCTAATCGACATGTACGGGAAATGTGGTTCTATGGAGGATGCAGTTTTGGTATTCCAACACATGGAAGAAAAAGACACAGTTTCTTGGAATACCATTGTTGCTTCCTGTTCAAGGAACGGTAAGCTCGAGCTGGGACTTTGGTTTTTCCATCAGATGCCAAATCCAGACACTGTAACATACAACCAGATCATCGATGGTTTCGTTAAGTCAGGGGATTTCAATAGTGCCTTTCAGATTCTATCAAGTATGCCAAAGCCTAATACATCTTCATGGAACACAATATTGGCAGGCTATGTCAACAGTGATCAATCAGGAGAAGCTACTGAGTTTTTCACCAAAATGCATTTGTTAGGCATGAGATTTGACGAATACAGCTTGTCAATAGTTCTGGCCGCCATTGCTGCTCTTGCTGTGGTTCCATGGGGAAGTCTCATCCATTCTTGTGCTCTCAAGCTTGGCCTAGACTCTCGGGTTGTCGTCGCGAGTGCTTTGATAGATATGTATTCTAAATGTGGAATGTTGAAGCACGCTGAGCTGATGTTTTCGACAATGCCTAGAAAGAATCTGATAGTGTGGAACACGATGATCTCTGGATATGCTCGCAATGGGGATTCAACCGAAGCGATCATGCTTTTTAACCAGTTGAAACAAGAAAGATTCCTGAAACCTGATCGGTGCACATTCTTGAATCTCTTAGCTGTGTGTTCTCATTGTGAAGTTCCAATGGAACTCACCCTTGGCTATTTTGAGATGATGATAAACGAGTATGGGATCAAACCAAGCGTAGAGCATTGCTGTTCTCTTATTAAAGCTATGACACAGAGCGGAAATGTTTGGCAGGCGAAAAATGTGATTCAAGAATTTGGTTTTGGGTATAATGGTGTGGCTTGGAAGGCGTTGCTTAGTGCTTGTAGTGCTCGAAAGGATCTGAAAGCTGCGAAAACCATTGCCGCAAAGATTGTTGAGTTAGGGGAAGCTGATGAAGATGAGTATATATACATAGTAATGTCAAATCTCTATGCTTATCATGAGAGATGGAGAGAAGTTGGCCAAATTAGGAAGATAATGAGAGAGAGAGGAGTGAAAAAAGAAGTCGGGTCGAGCTGGATTCAAGAGCAAAATATGGCAATACAGCTTTAGAATCTTCTAAGTTTTGAGTTTTTGCTTATTTTAAACTAGACATGGAATCAAACATGAGGGTAAAATCTGGGAGAGAAATCGTGTAAAGAGGAGAAACTGTATTACATTTTTTTCTTCATTAATCAAAGAACATGAGTTTGGAGTCGCAAACAAAAAAAATCAAACTTCTTGTCTTAAGTTTAAGAGAAGAAACATGCCTCCCTTGATAGTAATACTCTTCATGAATGTATCAGGTCACCTTGGGACTGAAAGGCCCAGCTCTAGAGTCGTAAACAGAAAGAGAAATAACGATTAGGGAACGGAAAACTGATATTTTACAAACAAGAAAGAAAGACAGATGCTTTTTGCTTATTAATTCTACAGCAAACTAGTCAAGCAATCACATGTAAAATAGCTTTCCTAAATCTAAATTATCACCAAAGCATTGTTGACAAAGCCCACCTTTAAAAACAACTGCAAATACGTCTCACGTGCCATCGACTCCATCTGGGACAAAGAGCACTTGTACAGATTACTACAGTAGTGTGGCCACTCTTATACACAGATCACGAACTAATTTCACTAAACTGGCATCCATGTAAACAAGCAAGAAACACAATGACAATCTGACTCGGCTTAACATTTGGTTTTAATACGGTTCCCCTTCAAATTCCATGTTTTTCGGATTCTCCCTAACATTCGTATTCCGATATTTCATTTGGGTTACTAGAACTTAAAAAAGGTTCGTACTTGATAAAGATGCAAGGATCCCACATGGTAACGGTGAAATTATGTGCCTGCATGAAGCAAGTACTCATAATTAGACAGACACAATGGCACTGAAGCTAAAAAACTCTTTCACAGCTCTAGAAACTGATTTACTCTTAGCCTACTTGTTAAGCGTCAAACATTAGACATATCAACACTACATAATGCAACTAGTTATTTCACCAAACAAGAAAAGTCATAAAGCCAAAAATAAACGTAAACAAGGAAGAAGGATAGGCATAGAGCTAGCAACACTTCATATAAGCAATCAAACAGTTCATCTATAACTATGATCCTTTCCTTACAGCAATATAATGTCCTCACGCGTAGAGATGCTATGATCCTTTTCTAAGTCAAACTAACAAAACCAAAGTGCTAAGCAGGGAAAATGTGCAAACCATAAAAGTATCAAACTTTAATTCGAGCTCACTAATTCTACACATAGAAATGTGACAGAGAAAGAAGAAGTGATCAAAAATATAAGCGAGGAAAGACAAAAAGAGTTACTCACAAGCAAGAAAACAGAAAATAGTATTAGAGGTCGGGACAGGTGCAGCAGAGAGTACCCTGAGAGAGAGCTCGGCTGCTTCTGGAAGTTGTGCTAAGGCAAGACGTCAAACGAGCGGCAGCCACAGTGCTGTGAAGCGGTAACAGAGACTGAACACAACCAAGCTCAGATGGACACCTACATGTATGGAAACCAAAAGACACAAATTTCATCAAAACGAAACCCTAAAACGAAGATTGAGGAAACAGGAAATGAACGAAAGGGAAGCAGATACATGGAATTTGACACAGAACATATAAATTTACTCCGATTTGGTTATATAAAATCAGACCTGGAGAAGGAGAATCTGGGAGAAGCGGCGGGTTTAGACGGGATACGAAATCCGGCGGATGAGGCGGAGGTAGGAGAAGATCCGGAGCCAATTGGAGATTTGAGAAGCGAAGATCTGATGACGGATCTGAGAGAAGAGACGGAGGATCTGTTCATGAATCTATTGCAAGAAGAAGCCATTGTACAAAAAGATAGAAGAAGCCGAAAAGTGAGATCGATATTCGTCTTCGTCGTCTTCTTGTACAGAGGTTTTATAGGGTTTTTGGACGCCGGAGGAAGGATAGTGTCAGAAATAAATATCACTGTTTCTTTTTTTGTTGGGTTTAGGAATACTTGGGCATTCATTCAACAATAAATGGGCCTTAAATGGGCCTAGGCTCGTATACTGAAAAGGTAACGTCGTCATCGAAAGCTGCTGAGGTATTTTAAGCATTGCATAAGTTGAGAAGAACAAGAATACGTGTCAGCCAGAAATGCTGACTCTAAAAAGGCCATAAATAAAGGTTATCCCTTTTTAAACCTTTTTTGTTAGATTAATCACCTTTCGACTTCATCTAATTATTGAATATTTGTCTGAATATACGGTGGGACGGATAAAATAAAACAAAAGTCGGCTCACAAAATATAATCTTGCCGTCATCGTGGAGCACTTTAAAAAATATAAAGTACCCTTTTCCGATTTTTTTTTTAGGACTTTCGTTAAATAATAAAATTAAAAGAACCAGATAACTAATTTAAAAACGTAAAACCATAAAACAGAGGTGTGAAGAACACAGAAGATAGAAAGAATAAGAAAGGAGGTTGACATAGAGTCAACATATCACAGCTTTAGTTGATACGCATAAGTCAGATGCTTGACCAAATTGCAACGGATTTATTTTTCACAACACCGAAAATCTTTTTAAGGATAAGTGAAGGAGAAACAGTGGTACCGTCATGGAAACGTCTGTTCCTCTCTTTCCAAATTTCATAAATGGCGGATTGCCAACCTTGTAGAAGGGCTAAAGATCGATCAGAAGAAGTGCAAGCCCTCTTTAACCAAGTAAGTATATCTTGCCAAGAGAAATGAGGGTTTGGCAGCCCTCCAAATTTCCTGTGTGTATTGACAAACAAAAAAGAGATGGTCACGAGATTCAATGTCCTGGCCACACAGTAAACATGTTGTCTCCACATCCAAGCCCCACGAAGCAAGGCGTGATAAAATTGGATTTCTGTCCAATGTGACAAGCCAAGCCGTTATAGAATGCTTTGGAAAAGCTGCCTTGTGCCAACCCAGTGGATGCCAAGATACATGGGGTTTAACGTTACAAATATTATCCCAAGTCACTTTGGAAGAAAAAGACTTGCAAACTTTGTCCCCAACCAGCCATTGTGCAACATTAGAAACATTAGAATATGAGATAGTTGTGATGAAGGAGAATAGCTGTAGTTGAATTTCTGATCGTGCCGCTAGTAAGCACCAACCGACAGGAGAAAGCCTTTCCATAACAAGGGAGAACAAAGGAATCTCAAGGAGGCAGGACCTTGCGGTCCTAAGAAATAAATAAGAAGACCGAAAGGCATCCACGAATCCCACCAAAAGTATGTCTCCTCACCATTTCCAATCAAGATTCTGAGAAAAGTAACAGCTTTATGTCGAAGTTTTAATAACCTTCTGAACATCCAAGAGAATGACTGATTATCTTTATTTAACGACCAGAAACAAGAACGAGAGAGATATCTGCTTCTTATCCAAGCAACCCAAATCGAACCAGCCCTAAAGAAGAGCATCCAGATAAGCTTTAGACCACAAGTATCATTCCATTCCATTATAGATCTGATTCCAAGTCCAGCTTCGGATTTAGGATATGATAAACTGGACCAGGAGATCTTTGCACTAGATGGACCATCCAAAGAACCATGGCAGAGAAAGGAACTGCAAAGAGAGTTTACTTTTCGAATAACCTTTTTTGGGAGAAAGAACGCTGCTGTCCAAAACCCAATGATACCAGAAATAACCGTTGCAATTAGAGTTAGGCGGCCTGCGAGACTTAAATGTCTATGCATCCACCCATTCAATTTTGTTTTGATTTGTTGCAACAACGGATCACAGTCCGAGATAGTTAACTTCCTTGATCATAGAGGAAGTCCCAAGTAACGGATCGGTAAGGAACCCAGAAATAAAGAAAACCGGTTCCTAAGCTGATCTAAAACCTCATCAGAGACCCCTGAGCAGAATATCGAAGTCTTGCTTATGTTAACCGCCAACCCTGATAATTTCTCAAACTGAGAGAGCACCGTGAAAACCCCAGCAACTGATTCAAAGGAGCCTTCTACAAAAATCAACAAGTCATCTGCGAATGAAAGATGAGTTAGGAGAAGGTTTTCACAACCTGGATGATACTTAAAGATCCCA